GTATTGGCCCAAAAGGATGTACGTTCAATCACTAGAACGACTCTTAACTCACCCATTAGTCATCCTAACATCATCAATAACATTGGAACATTTTGCACTAACCACAGACAGCACCTAAGGACTTATTCGAGCGGGATGATGAGTACATGGCGCGTCCTAGAGTTTTGAGTAGTGATTCATGGAACTATGGAGTCGAGTAGCGAATCGGAGTCGTAAAGCCGTACTTGGTCAGAGAAGCTCTTGCTCACACCGTTTATGGCTCCCATGTGGGTTCTTCTCTGTCTAAGTTCAGTGCAAGTAAGATCCACAGGAACGAGGCTAAGTGGAAGCCAAGTGTAGGCAAGTGGCGAACGGCCATATCGTAGGCATGGACTCCACCTCCCTGCACGCTCTAGCACTGTACTTCCCCATCCTTTCCAGCAAACTTCTGCGGACTAAAGGGTCATCGCTACATGCAGTAATGAGTTGAAGCCCCAAAAATATTGCTACCTCTAAGGATGCAGGTGATCAATATACTTTGAATTGAAGTCAGAACTGAGAACATTTTTGAGTTGACCGAATACCGCCAGGATGTAATCCATGATCATGTGACTGAGCTTTTAAGAGCTGGATTTTCAAGAACTTCCTGTCGTTGTTCGATCTTACGTATTGCAATGTTTGTTTCCTCTCCCTTTCCTGTGCTTTGCTGCTCGAGTTTATAGTGTGCTATTTTCGACGACAAAATAAGGTGAGGAGAATGACAACCAGTAGGGACAATGCCTAACACTGAAGGTAATGATTTTGACATCCGTCGAGTGTGGCACTGACAATGGAATGTCTCTTGTGGGCCCTTCCAAGTTAAACGCACACTTTCACAGGGAAAAAAATAGTTTCTGAGATTTCCTTCAGTGGATCTGTAGCCCACCCCTACATCATATGTGGCGCCGTCAGATTATAAAGCGGCTTGGATAATGTGTTATGGTGGTCAAAGGTTGTACCAGCTCTATGCCACGCTCATAGACGACGAGTTCTAACGGCGTAGTGGAAGCCGCACCATTTACGAGGTATACCTATGTTGGAACTCCAATTACTAGTCATGACCATGAAGGGCAGTTTGAGACATCTTTGACTTGATGTAGCCAGCTCTTTACGCAATTGCAACAAATGCAATCTTGTCCGAAACCCCCTTCCATGCCATTTCTCTCATGGTAATCTCGCACTACCTCTACTCCTCCACTTTCACTATCTCAACCCATTGACGAAAATCAAGTCCACATGTGGACTACAGGAACTTCTTTTTCTTTTATTTTTCTATATTTCCACTTTTATTAATCTTTCTTCTTAGAACATTAAATCAGGCCTAAGTGAAGGTAAATACTGCGTGGTCTAAGAAATCGTATATACCTCCGTGTGTTTGGCTGAAACTCGACGAGTAGCCCTTCAAGCACCTTCTTCCTCTTTAAGCCTTGGAACCTTTACTTCCTCCGAATTATTCCTCGGTAGAAAGAGAAAAAGAAACGCTGGCTGTCATCAGCGACCCAAACAATATTTTTTTTATTGAAATCGTTGATTTCTACTAGTCCTACTATGTCCTTGCACAGCTTCCTGCATTGTCAATGGCGGTTTGGGTGATCGAATAGAAGTAAATTCTTTCCCATCACTTGCATGTCTTCCCGAACGAGGTATATGAGGCCACTCGGTCAGATTGATCAACAAAACTTTTCATAGTATTGTGGTCGTTAACTGTGTGTAAGTCAAATGCAGTACGCATCTCACAAACGGGTTTGATTTACGCCAGCAAATTTATCCTATCGTATTTGATTGTTCACTTGCATTTTAACTTACAGGCTCCTGCCGGAGATGGACCGCAAACCGAGGATCGTTATATGGTTTACTCAAATATAACTCAAAAGGTGGATCACTTCGGTAATTATTCTTCAACATGGAAGCAGGTCAGAAATTTTATTTTATCGTAAATCTTCACCGTAATACATCTTCACGACGAAAACCAAATTCAATTCGTAGACAGTCACAGTTATCACCATAAAGGCGAAAGGTGACCTAATGGGAACAACTAGAGGATGTGACCAAGCGCAACCGACGATCTAAGTGTTTATTTCAGAAATTATTGNGGGGGGGGGGGGGGGGGGGGGATGGATCGAAATAACCAAAGGGGGTCGAGTCATGACAGTAGGCAGATTGTTAATACATTGCTTACTGGTGCAACCCCTAAAAGCAACACCCATCACATCCTACCGAGAGTAGATGTGGTTAGTGTTGCTTTTAGGGGTTGCACCAGTAATGGCAGTGTAAATGGAATGATCTTCTGTTGAATTTCCGAGAAAGTCAGAATGGATTAGGATGTATTTGAATTACTTTTTCTTGATAAGTTAAGAATGCCAGCTAGGTGGACACAGTACTCCCCGGTGATTCTCAACTCATGTATTACAGCTTTTTTGTAACAAGTCTCGGCAAGAATCTTCTGTTACAAATCGTTCTAGAGGAATTTTTCTAGAAGTTGGTCATATCACTAACTTCAGCTCAGGCTCTGGAAAGTCGTGACTATGAAACCTGAACGATAGTAGATCCCACACTGCATTCAGGCCTTTGCAGGAGTTTGCTGACGACCTTACTACAAGTTAGCGTTTCCTCTACTGTTCTAAACATCAGTACGCAGCAAACCCCGATGACTGATCACCTTTCTTAGCAACTTAACTACAACAGTTTTCAAACCGAATGAAACGGCTGTAATGGATGTTGTTCGGTCCCCCAGAACAAATACTACTGAGCGATTCAGTTCTTCACTTGCGATTTCCCGATCACTGAGCTGCAGCGCTTGATTTACGTGACTGCTTACAGTTCAGAGCGGTAAATGCACGAGTGAAATGAGAGAGCGGCAGCGACGATGGAACCAGGAATCATTTCAGGACCACTTGTAAAGCAAGTGCGCCTCCCAAAGCTTGCGCCGATCACATGAACGGCTTGCTGCCTCTCCATCAAATTTCCTGCATGTACATGACACTTGTCCTTGATCGTGTATTGGTCAAATAGCTATCTTCTAAAACTGATTGTAAGACGGAATGTTCCTCTGACTTTGGAGTATGCCAATGAATGAAATTTTTTTGAAACAAGGCTCCTTAAACTTTTCAAAGTACCTATTTGTAGAGCTTAATGAGCTGATGGTGAGTACAAAGGTATATGTCAGTTTCAAAATACTTTACTTTGAATAAACTTATGAAAAAGAGGAAGCGTCCATTCGCTCATTTTGCTTAAGTGCAAGAATCTTAAGGGGGGGGGGGGNCCCTTAAATTTTTCAAAATACCTATTTGTAGAGCTCGATGAGCTGATGGTGAGTACTAAGGTATATGTCAGTTTCAAAATACTTAACTATGAATAAACTTATGAGGAAGAGGAAGCGCCTATTCGCTCATTTTGCTTGAGCGCGAGAATCTTCAGGGCGGTTACTGTACCCGATCTTTTTTACTTTTCTTCATATCTCTTGGAAAGAGGATTCTTCTCGCTACGCGTTGGACACCTTTGTTAGTGTTCACGAAGCACCAAAGTAGCAACAACAAGTCATGAGAATAGGAAAATTCCTCATATGGTCCGCGATGATCAGTTACCTAATTAAGATGATCAATTCCATAATTAAGCGCTACCAGTACAACTCGAAGTTCTACAATGCATCCAATGGCATAGTGTTTCTGATGCTTGGAGGAGAAGGTGGGCAGCTCTCTCAAGTTCAGCTTACATGTCCACTAAGGAAACCGTCTGTCTGGGAAAACGCCATTTCAGGTTCGATTTCGCCGCCAGGCGATAAATGGGTTAGAGATGAGAGCATCACCATGATGCAATGGGCTCAGAAATACGGCGCGGCTGCATTCCAAGTTGAGCATCGTTTCTACGGACCCCAGGAGAACACACCGTTCGGGTAAAATCATCGATACGCTCCACAAACAGAGAACATGGGAATAGGCCTAGGGTTTCTTCACGATTTTGTAAGTCTTGCAGCAAATTCCAGCAAACAGGACACAGAATCTTTGAAACTTCTCACCATAGACCAGGCCCTCGCAGATATCAAGGAATTCATCCAGCAGATGAATGATCTGTATTTCAAAGGAACGAATACAAAATGGGTGACATTCGGTGGCTCCTATCCAGGTACTTTTTTATATTTTGTAATTTCTTTAACCATTTCATACTTCAATGAAACCGCATCCGATTGATTGCATTCTCGTCAGGCCTGAGCTCGACGGGGTATGGGAAAGCAAAAACCTTTCGTATCTATTTTACGGTGTTAAAGTTATGCATATTGTATCATGCAGAATATTGAAAAAAGGAATTAAGAGAGTGAGGGCAAACAGGGTCTGGGTAGTGTAAAGGATGATCACAGTACCCGGTAACCACAATTACGGGTGCGTGTCCTGTCCGAGGCCGAAGTTTTGTCAATAATCCTGCCAACCTTATGAGACTTTCGGAACGCATACTGCGACGGAATACCAGCACTTAACGGAGAGAAGGGAAAGGGCTGAACACCTTAGAAAATAACCGGTTCCTGATCTTTCGTCCCTTCAGATCGACAGCTTCGCGAAACATCCAAGTTAAATGTTAGACATTCGAATAAAGACTAGGTAACATGAAGACCAAGTTTTCGCTTTACGCTACCGCGCAACAATCGGAAGGAGCTCGGTTCTAAATCGGAGTGTGAAGGTGATGGGTTCATGAATCGACAACTCAGTGTCGTCTCGCATTTGTTCGTATTCCGATAAAGAGTCAATGTCGTGGTTGTCTCTGGGCTTAACTACCAACATGAGTTCAAGCGCGGTGTGATAACCATAAAGACCTGCATTCACCCAACTCGTAAGAAATTTTAGCCGAAGAAAATTGTTTAAGGAATTTCTCAAAACTTTTCGCATTTGATCGATTAACACGGACATTATATGATCCTGTGGATATAGACATTGGCAATGTGGAGCTTACAACTGCTCAGCTCCACTTGAATATTTTTTGACTCATAAAAGCTCCTCCCTAGTTCGGCCTGAGTGGACTATGAATTGGAGTGGAAACTTTTCCGAAAAACAGTTATATCAACTGCGACTCCCATTACCATCTGTTTAAGGATCCTTGTCCGCCTTTTACCGAGAAACCTACCCGAGCACCACCATTGGAGCGGTATCAACGTCTTCGGCGGTGAACGTCTTCGTCGATTACTACGGCAAGTTCTGTGCAGCTCTCGACCCAGCCAGCAATTGAGCTGGTCGAATTCTAGGGTATCTGCAGAACACCGAAGCCAACTACAGGGCGCAAGACAAAAACTGCGCCACCAGCATGGCCACAGCGTTCACGAATATGCAAAATCTGTTCTTCAGCGGAACTGCTGGAAGAGGAAAACTGAAGAGCAAATTCAAGTGCTTCACCATATCCTTTGAAGTGTCGCCATCTGGGCCATAACTAATCCTTTGATATTCAGCCTGTGCGACGATTTCGATGAGCAAAACCTCTCGAAGGCAAAGCAGTTCTTCTTTTCAAACGTCATCAGCTATTTCCAAGGGATAAACCAGTATTCTGGTGACAACAGGGTGAGTGCAGTTGTGGCCTGACGAAACCTAACATTTTCCGATCCTCCTTTTCAGAATACTGCCACCCGAAATGGACTGGGAATACCCAAGGCTTGCGAGATCATGACGAACACTTCATTGGGGGATGAAATGGACAGGGTCAAACTTGTCGTGAGTGAAGCTGTTTTTTGGACAAGAAAAATGTGCTTTCAAACTACGCTGTTAAAAGCAGGCAGAGGAATTGCGCGGAGCTTACACCTACGTAACATAAAATACTCGCCGTAAGAACTCAAAAATTTACGATAGTACCGCGAGTTCGCGTCTTTTTCGTCTTTTCTTTATAAATCGCTTCAAAATAAATTAATAGAAGAGGAAAAATACCGTTGAACTCAGCTCATCGAGCTCTACAAGACGATACCCTGAAATGTTGAAAATGCTTTATTTTGGATTGCGCCATGCACTTGAGCTCCATCCGAAAAGTGATTGCATGCACATGGGG